CCTTTCTTTCCTTCCTTCTCTCTTCTCCTTCCTTCCTTCCTTTCCTTCTTCCTTCCTTCCTTTTCTTCTCCTCCTTCCTCCTTTTTCTTTCCTTCCTTCCTCCTTCCCCTCTTCCTTCTTTCTCTTCCTTCCTTCTTCCCTTTTCCTTTTCTTCCTTCCCTCTTTCCTCCCCCTTCCCTCTCCCTCCTTCCATCCTCCGCTTCCTCCCTTTCGTCCTTCCTTCCTTCTTTTTCCTTCCTCCTTCCCTTCCTCCTCTTAGTAGGGAGTGCTAGCATGCGGCCCCTAAGTTTGAAAGTTTGCCAGCGCCTGTTCTGGGAGACGTAGTCCACAGTGGGGGCAGCTTTTAGGTGGACCATAAAGACAAGCCATAAAAGAGCAGTTAAGGGGTTGGAAATGTGGTCGGAAAAAGTTAATAATTATTCAAGGACCAGGAATCACCCTTCTTTTTTGGAATTTATCATCTGTCTAGACGGACTCAGAAGACCTTGGGCAGTGCAGAGATATTGAGAACTTCCATTCCCAAAGTCGTGTCTTTTCATCTCTGTCCTGTGTATTTTAATATGTGTTTGAAAGAATATGTATGTTTTATAGAATTACATTTTAATAGGTGGGATTATAGAATTTTTGCAATGTTTTGTGTGTTTTGACGGTGCTCAGCGTCCTAGTTATTATTTATTGTTTATTGTTTATTGTTTATTATTTATTGTTTATTATTTATTATTTATTATTTATTATTTATTATTTATTATTTATTATTTATTATTTATTATTTATTATTTATTATTTATTATTTATTATTTATATTCCGCCCTTCTCACCCCACAGGGGACTCAAGGCGGATTACAATGCACATATACACGGCAAACATTCAATGCCATGTAGACATACAACATATATAGACAGACACAGAGGCAATTTAACATTCCAGCTTTTTCCGGCTTCATGAGGGTATGCCCGGTTCTGGCCACAGGGGGAGCTGTTGCTTCACCGTCCACTTGTGACTGAGTACTTCCTCATTCTTCTACACACTGCTGGAAGGTTTTATGGCGTCGTACATTAAATAAATTAGCCTCTCAGTGTAAAGTGATACCTAAATTTCCTACTGTCTTTCGGGCTGCATAGGTCGACAGCAAGCTAGACTATTAATAGGTTCTTGTGGGTTTTTTCGGGCTATAGAGCCATGTTCTAGAGGCATTTCTCCTGACGTTTCGCCTGCATCTATGGCAAGCATCCTCAGAGGTTGAGAAGGTCCGTTGGAAGTAGGAAAAATGGGTTTATATATCTGTGGAATGGCTGGGGTGGGGCAAGGAGCTCTTCCCTGCTGCAGTTAGGTGTGAATGTTTAGCTGATCACCTTCATTAGCATTTGAAGGCCTGCCTGAGTCTGGGAAAATCTGTTGCTGGGAGGTGTTAATCTGTGCCTGGTTTTTTCCTCTCTGTTGTTTAGCTGTTATAATTTTAGAGTTTTTTAATACTGGTAGCCAGATTTTGTTCATTTTCATGGTATCTTCCTTTCTGTTGAAATTGTCCACATGCTTGTGGATTTCAATGGCTTCTCTGTGTAGTCTGACATGGTGGTTGTTGGTGTGGTCCAGCATTTCTGTGTTCTCAAATAATATGCTGTGTCCAGGTTGGTTCATCAGGTGCTCTGCTATGGCTGACTTCTCTGGTTGAAGTAGTCTGCAGTGCCTTTCATGTTCCTTGATTCGTGTTTGGGCAATGCTGCGTTTGGTGGTCCCTATGTAGACTTGTCCACAGCTGCATGGTATACGGTAGACTCCTGCAGAGGTGAGAGGATCCCTCTTGTCCTTTGCTGAACGTAGCATTTGTTGGATTTTCTTGGTGGGTTTGTAGGTTGTTTGTATGTTGTGTTTCCTCATCAGCTTCCCTATGCGATCAGTGGTTCCCTTGATGTATGGCAGGAACACTTTTCCTCTGGGTGGAAAAACCAGGCACAGATTAGCACCTCCCAGCAACAGATTTTCCCAGACTCAGGCAGGCCTTCAAATGCTAATGAAGGTGATCAGCTAAACATTCACACCTAACTGCAGCAGGGAAGAGCTCCTTGCCCCACCCCAGCCATTCCACAGATATATAAACCCTTTTGCCTACTTCCAACAGACTTCACACCTCTGAGGATGCTTGCCATAGATGCAGGCGAAACGTCAGGAGAAATGCCTCTAGAACATGGCTCTATAGCCCGAAAAAACCCACAAGAACCTAGTGATTCCAGCCATGAAAGCCTTCGACAATACATTAACTATTAATGGTCGGGAGCTTACTCCGACCCAGGCTGGCTTCGGACTCATGACCTCTCGGTCAATAGTGATTTAATGCAGCTGGCTACCATAGCCCCGTCTCTTCTGCAGACTAAACATACCCAGCTCTTTAAGCCGCTCCTCATAGGGCTTGTTATTCAGACTCTTGCTCCTTTTAGTCGCCCTCCTCTGGACACATTCCAGCTCAGAGTCAACATCTCCCTTCAATAGGGGTTCCCAGAAGTGGACAGAAATGGTAACGTGGTCTGACCAAGGCAGAATGGAGGGTTATCATGACTTCCTTGGATCTAGGCACTATGCTCCTATTGATGCAGGCCAAAATCCCATTGGCTTTGTTTTGCCAGCACATGACATTCCTGGCTCATGTTTAACTTGTTGTGCTTGATAATATAATAATAAGAACGTAATGGTAATAATGCAATAATGATATAGTGATAATAATATAATTATAATATAGGGATATAATGATAATAATAATAATAATAATAATAATAATAATAATAATAATAATGCAATGCTTATAATGTAATAATGATAATATAACAATGGTACTAGTAATAATATATAATGACAACACTACAGTAATGATAATAAGAATAATGATAAATATTCATAATAATAATAATAATAATAATAATAATAATAATAATAGCCTAATGATAATAATAGTAATGATGCTATAATAATAATGATGATGATGATGATATTATTATTATTATTATTATTATTATTATTATTATTATTATTAAGACTCTGGCACAAGCCAGCCAACGTGGTCCCAGTGGTGATCGGCACACTGGGTGCAGTGCCTAAAGACCTTGGCCTGCACTTAAAAACAATCAATGGTAATTTTGTTAGTATTGACAAGGCACTGGCCAAGCATGCATATATGTATATGTATGTTATGTGTATATATATATATATATATATATATATGTATGTATGTATGTATGTATATGTATATGTATATGTATAGATATATCCTGGGAGTTGTAGTTTTATTATTATAATGATAATAATAGTAATGATACTGTAGTAATGATGATGATATTATTATTATTATTATTAATAATAATAATAATAATAATAATACTCTGACACAAGCCAGTCAAGGTGGTCCCAGTGGTGATTGGCACACTGGGTGCAGTGCCTCAATACCTTGGCCTGCACTTAAAAACAATCGGTACTGACAAAATTACCATTGGTTAGCTGGAAAAGGCCACCCTACTGCGATCGACACGCATTATTCGCCAATACATCCTACAGTCCTTCATATATGTGTGTGTGTGTGTGTGTGTGTGTGTGTGTGTGTATATATCCTGGGAGTTGTAGTTTTACTAAGGGTGCGTCTACACTGAAGAATGAATGCAGTTTGACCCCACTTTTAACTGCCATGCCTCAATGCTATGTATAGATATAGATGTAGATATAGATATAGATATATCCTGGGAGTTGTAGTTTTATTAAGAGCGCGTCTACACAGAAGAATAAATGCAGTTTGACCCCACTTTAATTGCCATGGCTCAATGCTAGATATAGATATAGATATAGATAGATATAGATATATCATGGGAGTTGTAGTTTTATTAAGAGAGTGTCTACACTGAAGATTGAATGCAATTTGACCCACTTTAACTGCCATGGCTCAATGCTACAGATATATAATCCTGGGAGTTGTAGTTCTATTAAGGACATGTCTATACTGACGAATGAATGCAGTTTGACCCCACTTTAACTGCCATGGCCACACACACACACACACACACACACACACACACACACATCCTTCCTGGGAGTTGTAGTTTTATTAAGGATGTGTCTATACTGAAGAATGAATGCAGTTTGACCCCACTTTAACTGCCATGGCTCAATGCTACACACACACACACACACACATCCATCCTGGGAGTAGTAGTTTTATTAAGGACGTGTCTATACTGAAGAATGAATGCAGTTTGACCCCACTTTAACTGCCATGGCTCAATGCTACACACACACACACACACACATCCATCCTGGGAGTAGTAGTTTTATTAAGGACGTGTCTATACTGAAGAATGAATGCAGTTTGACCCCACTTTAACTGTCATGGCACAATGCTACATACTGTATATATATCCATCCATCCTGGGAGTTGTAGTTTATTAAGGGCGTGTCTACACTGGAGAATGGATGCAATTTGACCCCACTTTAACTGCCATGGCTCAATGCTACATATAATCCTGGGAGTTGTAGTTTTATTAAGGGTGCATCTACACTGAAGAATGGATGCCAGTGCCTTGTCAAACTGCAAATCCTGGGATTCAATAGCATGGAGCCCTTTTAGTTCCTTTTGAGGCCAAACTGCATCCATTCTTCAGTGTAGACGTGCCCTTAATAAAACTACAACTCCCAGGATATATATATCCAGGGAGTTGTAGTTTTATTAAGGGCGTGTCTACACTGAAGAATGGATGCAGTTAGATCTCACTTGGAACAAAAAGGGCTCCATGCTATTGAATGCTACTGAACCCCAGGATTTGTAGTTTGACAAGGCATTGGCCAAGCATACAAAGACCTAGGAAACTACAACTCCCATGCTTCCCTAGCCTTGAGTCAGAGCCATTGAGGTGGGCTCAGACTGCATTCCTTCTATGATGTGAATGCAGTGGCTAGGCCTCCATTCATCCATGCTGAGGATTTTTTCCCCCTGTGCAACATAGTATTGTCTTGAGTAGGAAATGCTGGTCTTCCGGGCGAGGGATGCTCAGTCTCATGTGTTGCTTTCCAGGAAAGAATAAACCGGAGCGAAAGAGTTAATCCGGATTCCTCCCTCGGCCTCCCTGGAGCATCTGCCTCCGAACAGGAAACCAGAGAGAGTGTGAGAGAATGCCTTTCTCCTCCTCCTCCTTCTCCTCCCTTGCCTCCTCTTAGATTTCCCTTTTTTCCACCCCTTTCTTTTCTCTCATCCCTCCTTCCTTCCTTCCTTCCTTCCTTTCTCTCCTCCTTCCGCCCCTTTCTCCTTCCCTCGTTCCAAGGGGATGGTCAACTTGGCTCCTTTCCTCCCAGCCATGGATCCCTGAGCCATTTCTTCCCCACTCCAATCCTTCTCTCTGTGTGTGTTTCCCCCACATTCCACGCCCCCACACTCTTGGATTGGCTTCCCGGCCAGTATGAACCAGTATCCGGAGATGCCCCAGACTGGGAACTGTGGAGCTGCTGGCTTCTGAGGCTTGGCTCCAGAGGAGAAGCAAAGATTTCTGCCCTTGGCTGGACCGGAGGGTGAGTTCGGGGAGGCATTTTTGGGGGGAAAGAAAGAAAGAGGGATAGAGGAAGAGAGAAAAAGAAAGGGAGTGTGAGAGAGAAGAGAGGAAGAAAGCAAGGAAAGGAGAGAAGGAAGGAAGGAGAAAAGGAAGGAAGGAAGGAAGAAGAGGAGAGAAGGAAGAAGGGAGAGGAGGAGAGAGGAGAGAAAGAGGAGGAAGGAAAGGAGCGAGGGAAGAAGGAAAGGAAAGAAGGAGGGAGGAAAGGGAGGGAAGGAGGAGGAAGAGAAGGAGGGAGTGAGAGAAGGAGGAAAAGAAGGAAGGAGAGAAGGGAGGGAGGAGACAAAGAAGGAAGGATGGGGAGAAGGAAGGAAGGAGAGAAGGAATGAGAGAATGAAGGAGAAAAGGAAAGAAGGAGAGAAAGGAAGGAGGAAGGAGAGAAGGAAGGACAGAAAGGAGGAAGGAGAGAATGAAGGGAAAGAAAGGAGAGAAAGAAGAAAGGAAAGAAGAAGGAAGGAGAGAAGGAAGGAGGGAGAAAGAAGGAGAGGAGGAAGAGAAGAGAAGGGAGGAGAGAAGAAGGAGAGAAAGGAAGGAAGAGAAAGAAGAAAGGAAGGAGAGAAGGAAGGAGAAAAGGAAAGGAGAGAAAGAAGGAGGGAAGGAAGGACAGAAAGAAGGTAGAAAAGAATGAAGGAGAAAAGGAAGGAGACAAAGAAGAAAGGAAGAATGAAGGAAGGAAGGGAGGGAGAGAGGAAGGAGAGAAAGAAGAGGAAGGAGAGGAGAGGAAGGAAGAAAAGGAAAAGGAAGGAGAGAAAAGAAGAAGGAAAGAAGAGAAAGGAAGGAAGAGAAAAGGAAGGAGAAAAGAAGAAAGGAAAGAGAGAGGAGGAAGAAGGAAGGAAGGAAGGAAGGAAGGAAGGAAGGAGGAAGGAAGGAAGGAGAGAGAAGGAAAAGGAGGGAAGAGAGAAAGAAAGGAAGGAAGTAGATAAGGAAGGAAGGGAAGGAAGGAAGGGAGAATGAAGGAGAAAAGGAAGAAAGGAAAGAAAGAAGAAAGGAAGAATGAAGGAAGGAGAGAAGGAAGGAAGGACAGAAAGAAGGTAGAAGAGAAGGAAGGAGGGGAGGAAAGAAAGAAAAAGAGACATTGGGCGTGTAATGCAGGGTGAAGGATCACCATCAGGTTTACTTGAGAATACATTCCTTTGCGTTGAGCGAAACATCGGCTGGATCTGTACTGCCATTTAATGCAGTATGAATCTGGATTATATGGTCAGTGTAGACCTAAGTAATACAGTTCCATATAATGCAATATATGGCAGTGTGGACCCATGGTATCAGCATGATATGTGTCTTCACCGCCATATAATGCAGTTTGAAACTGCATCGTATGGCCAATGTAGTCCTGTTTGGCCAAAGGGTGCCAGCTACAACTCATTGCAGTTCAAGTGGGGTCAAGCTGCATTCATTCTACAGTGTAAAGGTGCCCTCAGAGCATGTGCAGAGTGCTTTCTTCTGGTCACTTCAAATAAGGAATACTGAGAGCATGTTGAGAGGGTGAAACACATTCAACAAGTGTCAAGAGTTTACTCCCAGATAAGACCCTATAAGAATGATTGTGGCATCTCCAATATGAAAAGGGTATATTGGAGCATGTGCAGAGTGCCATTTAGAGTGGGTCAGAATCTAATCTCCTATAAGTGTATATATAAGAAAAATTGTAGGCTTTCTGAAATGTGGTCTTAATACACTTGCATGTGTAGAGTGCAAACAAATTTTTCCTTCTTTCCTTTCTTCCTTCTTTTCTGCTTTCTTTCCTCCTTTCCTCCTTTCCTTCCTTCCTTCCTTCCTTCCTTCTTTCCTTCCTTCTTTCTTTCCTTCTTTCCTTCCTTCCTTCCTTTTTTCCTTCCTTCCTTCTTTCATTCCTTCTTTCATCCCTTCTTTCCTTCTTTCCTTCCTTCTTTCCTTCCTTCCTTTCCCCTTCTTCTTTCCTTTCTTTCATTTCTTTCTCTTTCCTTCCTTCCTCCTTCCTTCCTCCTTCTTTCTTTCCTTCCTTCTTTTCCTTCCTTCTTCTTCTTCCCTCCTTCTTTCTTTCCTCTTTTTTCCTTCCTTCCTTCCCCTTTCCTTCCTTTCTCTCCCTCCTTCTTCTTTCCTTCCTTTCCTTCCTTCCTTCTTCTTCCTTCCTTTGCCTTTCTTCTCTCCTTCCTTCCTACTCTTCTTTCCTTCCTTCCTTTCTTTTCTTCTTTCCTTCCTCTTCTTTCTTCCTCCTTTTTCTTCTTCTTTCTTCTTCTTCCCTTCCTTCCTCTTCCCTTCCTTCCTTCCTCCTTCCTTCTTCCTTCTTCCTTCCTTTTCTTCCTCTTTTCCCCTTTCCTTCCTTCCTTCCTTTCCTCCTTCCTTCCTTCCTTCTTCCTTCCTTCTTTCTTCCTTCCTTTCTGCCTGCCTTCCTGACTTCCACCCCTTCCTTCCTTCTTCCTTCTTTCCTTCCATCTTTTTCTTCCTTTTTCCTTTTCCTTCCATCCTTCTTCCTCTTTTTTCCTTCTCTCCTTCCTCCTCTTTCCTTCTTCTCTTTTTTTTCCTTCCTTCCTTCCTTCCTTCTTCCTTCCTTCTACTCTTCCTTCTTTCCATTCCTTCCTTCCTTCTTTGTTTCTTTCTTTCTTTTCATTCTTTCTCTCTCTCTCTCTCTCTCTCATACACACAAAGGGTGTCAGTTCCCACATTTCTAGGCTCTTTAAGGATAAATCTCCTAAAATAAGCGAAAAGTACACGCCAGAAAAGCTCGTGCTAAATAAAACTTGTGCTTTTTCATTTTAAGATGATGCGCGCACACACAAAAAGTGTTGTCATTTGTCAATGCATGTGCCGTTTGTGTCCCCAATGCAAAGGAATAGTTTGGAGCTGGCTAAGAGACGCAATGGGAGTTTGCAGACATCCTCTGCACATGTTCAGAGGCAGCCTGGGACAACCAAACCAGATGTGGATGGGATATAGTGCAAACCAGAAAGCACGCAAGCAAAGGATTGCCAAGCATGCCATGCATAATCTTTATTTCCCTTTCGTGCCTTTGAACTAAAGATCGTTGCCTTGAAGAAAAGGCATTTCCCAAAACAAAGATTCCTACCCCTGAGGTCTTTAATCCCCAAAATTGCTTCATTTCTGGGGCCAGAAAGGCCTTGACGTCACATTCGGACTTTGTTTCTTTAAGATACAGGCGCTTGGGTTTTTGCTATCAACTCCAGTGAGGACAAATGCACTCTGTGCATACTCAGAGGCACTCTTGTTAGGCCACGACAAAGGCTGTTGTTATTATATTTAATATATTAATTATTATAATATTATTATTAGGTATATTTATTATATTTATTGTTATTCTATTCTATATATATACATATATACACATATATATACACACACACACACACACACACACACACACATATATATATATAATATTATATTATTATATTTATATACTGCTTGTTAGGCCACAACAAAGGCTGTTGTTGTTGTTATATTTATTCTATTAATTATTATAATATTATTATTAGATATATTTATTATATTTATTGTTATTCTATTCTATTACATATATAAATTATTATATTATTATATTTATATACTGCTTGTTAGGCCACGACAAAGGCTGTTGTTGTTGTTATATGTATTATATTAATTATTATAATATTATTATTAGATATATTTATTATATTTATTGTTATTCTATTCTATCTATCTATATATATATATAAATATTATATTATATTATTATATTTATATACTGCTTGTTAGGCCACGACAAAGGCTGTTGTTGTGGTTATATGTATTATATTAATTATTATAATATTATTATTAGATATATTTATTATGTTTATTTTTATTCTATTCTTCTTCTTCTTATTATTATATTTATATACTGCTTTTTCCGTTGGACTCAAAGCAATGAACAGTGATAAAAACAATATGATTTACAGGTAGTGGGTTGTTATAGGTTTTTTCGGGCTATATGGCCATGTTCTAGAGGCATTTTTCCTGACGTTTCGCCTGCATCTATGGCAAGCATCCTCAGAGGTAGTGAGGTCTGTTGGAACAAGGAAAAAGGGTTTATATATCTGTGGAATGACCAGGGTGGGACAAAGGACTCTTGTCTGTTGGAGCTAGGTGTGAATGTTTCAACTGACCACCTTGATTAGCATTTGGTGACCTGGCAGTGCATGCAGCAATCTTTTGATGAGAGGTGATTAGATGTCCTTGTTTCTTTCACCTCTCAACAAAAGATTGCTGTAGGTGAACCATACATCCCAGCAACAACAACTCCCAAATATCAAAGCCTATTTCCCCCAAACTCCACCAGTGTCCACATTTGGGCATATTGAGTAATCGTGCCAAGTTTGGTCCAGATCCATCATTGTTTGAGTCCACAGTGCTCTCTGGATGTAGGTGAACTACAACTCCCAAACTCAAGATCAATGCCCACCAAACCTTTTCAGTATTTTCTCTTGCTTATGGGAGTTCTGTGTGCCAAGTTTGGTTCAATTCCATCATTGGTGGAGTACAGAATGCTCTTTGAATGCAGGTGAACTATAAATCCCAGCAACTACACCTCCCAAATGTTAAGGTCTATTTTCCCCAAATTCCACCAGTGTTCACATTTGGGCATATTGAGTATCGTGCCAAGTTTGGTCTAGATCCATCACTGTCTGAGTCCACAGTGCTCTCTGGATGTAGGTGAACTACAACTCCCAAACTCAAGGTCAATGCCCACTAAAACCTTCCAGTATATTCTGTTGGGTATGGGAGTTTGGTTCAATTCCATCATTGGTGGAGTTCAGAATGCTCTTTGATTGTAGGTGAACTATAAATCCCAGAAACTACAACTTCCAAATGGCAAGGTCCATTTTCCCCCAACTCCACCAGTGTTCACATTTGGGCATATTGAGTATTCATGCCAAGTTTGGTCCAGATCCATCATTGTTGAGTCCACAGTGCTCTCTGGATGTAGGTGAACTACAACTCCCAAACTCAAGGTCAATCCCACCA